GGGTGTGGCTCAGTGGTAGAGCACCTGCCTAGAATCCCCCAGTGAGGAGCCAGCAGCAAGTTTGTGGACAGTGTGCTTGGTTAGCATGTGAAAGGCCCTAGGTTCCCCCTCAGACAAAGGAGTTTAGATAGAAGTTGTGGGAGAGGAAGAGGGGGAATGGAGGAGGAAGGAGACAGAAGGGATTCTGGGGCCACCGGAGAGCTTCAATACCCGGCCCTCTCTTTGTACTGATGGGGAAGCTGAGGCCCAGAGAAAAGGACTCATGGAAGACGTCCAGTCCATCTGAATGACAGCAGGTGACATCCCTTCCTCAGGCCTTTTCCCTCATCATGCTGTTCCACGCCAGGCTCAAAGCGGATCTGGAAAGCTCTTTCCTCCCTTCAGGGTCCTACACTGTCATGGGGTCAAATGCGTGTTCGCCACAGTATAAAGGACCAGCTGGCTAGTGACGGCTAACAGCCTGAAATTTTGTTTGGTTTTCCTCTGGGGTTTTTTGTTGTTGTTTTTGTTTTTGATTTTTAACTGCATGTCCTATAGCCCAGGCTGGTCTAGAACTTTTGCTGAATAGCTGAGGTTGGCTTTGAACTCCGGATCCTCCTGCCTTCCTCCTCCCAAGTACTGGGATTACAGGTATGTGCCACCACACAGCTTAATGGATAGGCCTTGATGAATGTCAGTGAATCAGAGCTACAAATCCATCTCTGCTCTGAGCCCAGCTCCAGGCCCACAGCTTCACCACTTGGACATCGAGCTCTCCGTGTCTCCCCATCAGAATGGGGCAGGACCCGCTTATTTCCCCCATCAGGATGAATCAGGTCTGTCTGTGTCTCCTCCATCAGACTAAGTCAGGGTTCTCTGTACCTCTCCCATCAGACTACACGTAGGACCTGTGTGTCTCCCCTGTAAGACTATCCCAGCCTCTGCGTGTCCGCTATCAGACTGGGTCAGACCCTTGTGGTCTTCTCGATGAGACTGCTGTCTCCTGGGAAAGAGAGCCTTGTCCCCCTCTGAACGTGACTAGAGCCAGTGCATCCATCCCAGGTGGGCTCGGCAGCTCTCAGGCAGAGGGGCTCAAGGGGTGCAGGGGTCCTGATGGGGGTTGGCTAGAGTCCCAGCCTCCAAGGCCACCGCTTCCCAATCCTCTCAATTAACTAAAGACCCCAGTGTCTCTCTGAGGAGTCCTGGCAGCTGGAGTGGATCTGCAGTTAGCCCCACCATCTTCCTGGGGACCAAGTCCTGGATTTAGTTAGCTCTGGCCGGGCTGCGGCACACTCACCTCGGCCAGGCACACTCACCTCAGCCAGGCACTCTCCCTGCCTTATCCCCAGAGAGGGCCTCTGCTCCGAGGCCTGGAAGACCCATAAAAAGCCCGTGCCGTGGCCGCCTGCCATTGCAGGAAGTCAAAGGGCAGCCTCCTTGTCTCCATTAACGGCCGCGATGGTGCCTGTCCCAGCCCGCCGCCCTCCCCGCTGCCAGCCTCTCACGCAGCCCCAGACAAGTTCGCATGACAAGCTCAGCTGGAGCCCCAGGCTTGGAACCCCAGCAAAGATGAGAACAAGCTGCAGTTCTAGGTCCCCAGCCGGCCTCCGTCACCACTCTGACTTAGCCACAGACTAAGTGAGCCTCGGGCCTCAGTGTCCTCGTCTGTAAAACAGGCCATCGCAGCTAAAAGTGGTGCCCCTTCCTATGAGCCCCCAAAAGAGTCCTAAATGAACTCCTGTTCATCTCCAACATACATGTCACATCAGGGCTGCAGACACCATCCTCTGGCTCTACTGCTGAGCTGTATACCCCAGCCCCTCACTGGGGGATTCAAGGCAGGTGCTCTACCACTGAGCCACACCCCAGCCCCTCACTGGGGGATTCTAGGCAGATGCTCCACCACTGCGTCACACCTCTAACCCTGAGTAGAATATTCTAGGCAAGGATTCTACTAAAATACCAAAGTATAGAAAGCAAATCAGCCCACTCATTATCACTCATTCTGTGAGGGAAATCTTAACCCTAAAGGTTAGGGGCAACTGTAGCCCAGGGTGTCCGGTTCCACCACAGAACCCTTAAGGTCAGAGATGACCCATCTTCCAGCCCCAGACCTGGGGCTACATCTCAGGAGTACAGAGTAGTTAGAACCGGGGTCTATTTGAGTTTTCTTTTGCAGGGATACCTGGGGCAGGTTTCACAAACTCACTGGGCCTCCTCTGACTCCTCATCACTGAGAAGAGCTCCCCGGTCCTTTCCCTGGAGACCGAAGTAACCCCACAATAGGACAAAGCAAGTAACCAGCCTAGCAATGGGGTCAGCCATGAGTGGATCTCAGAAATCCTATTCCCTTTGAGCACCCCTCTGCCTATCTGTCAGCATCAATGGAGGACAGACAGGCAGGACAGGCAGATCGGGAGGAGGGCAGAGCGGGCAGTAGGAAAGAGGAACTGGGAGTGGAAGAGGTGGGTATTGTCCTGACAGTGAGCAGAGGGATTCCAAGTCATTACAGCAGAAACTGAGGCAGGGTCCAGGCCAGTGTGCACAGCCAGGGGATCCGTACCTGGGAGCCTTACCGTGTCTCCACCTGTGGTTATGGAACGGAAGGGCCAGGCAGCTGTATACATCCACTTCCTGCTCCCAGCCCTCGCCCGGGCTCCCAGGAAGCCCACTCACCCTTGAGCTTCTCCCCAAACATGGTCAGGAAGACTGTGAAGTTGATGGGCCCTGGAGCTTCCTTCACCATGGCTTCCAGCTCCTCGTTCTTGACGTTTATGCGACCTGGAGAGGGAGAGGGGACGGGTCCGAGGAGAGCCTTGCAGTCACTCCTGCTTCTTCTGCTCCACCTGTCTCCCCTGGGCACTGTCCGTCTATTGGGGATACTTCAGGGGGAATGCTGGAGTCTACAGGCTGCTGCCTCCACCCTCCTCCCTCCCTCTCTCTCTAGCTTCCTAGAAAGCAAAGCAAGCCACTCTGTATCTCCCTTTCACGGATTAAAACAACAAACAAACAAAAATCGGAGGCTGGAAGAACTGAAGTGGGGCACATTGGGGCCCCAGGTCTCATGCATTCCTGGACACGGGAACCCTGGGATTCCACTTGGTCCCAGTGGGCACTCAGGTTCCCAGGACCTCAAAAACTCAACCCATGTTGGTACCTTAGCTAGTCAACTCCAGTTTTGCCCAAACCCAGCTCTCTATTCTTTGATTTTGAGACAGTGTCCGGCCACATAGTCCAGGCTATCACTGAAGCAGAACCCCACCCGCCTTGGTATGGGAATGCTGGGATGGCAGGCATGTGCTAACCCACCCTTCTGACCTCTCCTACTCCAGGGCCTTGGCACAATGTCAAAAATGTCCTCCCCTATTCACCAAGCCCTCCTGCCACACTGGCCACCTTCCCCTGCGCCGCGCCCCTCAGCCCTCAAGCCCCTTGCTGTGGCTGCCTCGGTCTGCCCCCTCTTTCCACCTCGGTCGTTAGCTCTCCCTAAAAACCAAGGTCTCAAGCTGCCCCAGCCTCTGCTTCACCCACCCAGCGCGGCAAAGGTGTCCCTCAGGTCCTCCTTGTCGATGAAGCCATCCCGGTTCTGGTCCATGATAGTGAAGGCCTGATGGAGACAGGGCCGGTGAGCCACCAGGGCCTACCCAGTCTAGTTGGTCCTTCCCCCTCCCTCCAGGGTGTCCTGGGTCGTCTGCCACGGGAGGAACCTCAACTAGGAGCTGTTGTGTGGTATTTTGATTGTGTTCTGACAAATAAAGCTCGCTAGGAATCAGGGGGCAAGCTAGCCGCTAGCTGACCATAGAGGTTTGGAGGACTGTCGAGAGAGGAGACAGGAAGTGGTAAGGCGGGGCTGAGAGAGGATCTCTCTCTTTTGGACGGAGGAAGGGAAGAGGAAGGAAGCAACTGGAGACTGCTCCCAGTTCTCTGATCTTTCAGGTTCTTACACCAATATTTGACTCCCGATTTTCTGTTGATGAAGATTAATTAGATTAACGCTTCATCCCAAGCCAGAGCTCCAACTTAGCTTAGTGCATGCTACATCCTGGGCCCTGTAGTCCACCCTCCTTGAGCCTCTGTCCTGAGTGCTTTGGGACGCCACACTCATTGTCTCATGAGCACAGCGACTCGGGGAGGGAAACTGAGGCTCACAGCGGGAGATTAAGGCTTTTCCATAAGTCACACAGCAAGTCCAGGCTCGGGGAGAGGGTAGCGAGCCACCTCTGCAGGCACAGAGGCAGCCGTGGGGACCTTGGAGAAGGGTGGCAGTGTGGGCAGCCACTGTGGGCTCCTTGAACAACCTCTGCGAATCCCGGTAATCCTCTTGTGACGGTTCGTTGCTGTTATCATCAACCTGACTAGATTTAGAGTCACCATGGAAACACACCTCTGGGCACATCTGTGAGGGGTTTTCCGGACTGGGCTAACTAAGGTAGAAAAACCCACCTTAAGTGAGGGCTGCATCCATCCCCTGGGCTGAGAAGCAGGCCGAGCGCCGGCATTCATCCCTCTCTTCTTCCTGACTCCGGATGCTGTGTGCGCAGCTCACGCTCCGGCCGCTACCCCTTCCCAAACGCTGACGGACTGCACCCTCAGACTGTGAGCCCCAGCAAACCCTTCCCTCCTTAAGTTACTATTTGCCAGAGATGTTGTTGCAGCAAAACGGAAAGTAATTAATATAGGTCCCCAGGGCCACCAACCAACCTCTTTAAACTCCTGAATCTGGGACTGGTCGAACATCGAGAAGACATTGGAACTGGCTGTGCCCTCTGCTCTCTTCCGGGCTCTTCTGGGTGCCTGGGGGAAAGAGGTGAATCCTCCTAGCCATTGCTTCTTCCAGAGCTCAGCAGTCACCACTGCCAGGCCAGGGGTCCCAGAACACCACGGTCCAGGTACCATCGCCCTTCTTCCTCGTACACACACACACACACACACACACACACACACACACACACACACAGCAGCCGGCTGGAGCAGTGGGCGGAGTTTCACAACTACTTGTGACAGCTGATGACTGTCCACTGGACAAGGCCTAGAGTCACTGTGGAGACAAACCTCCGGGCATGTCTGCGGGGAAGTTTCTAGACTAGTTAACTGAGCTGGGAAGACCTGTCATAAATGCGGGTGGCATCATCCCATCCCACGGGCTGGGGTCCTGAACTGAGCACCAGCGTTCATCTCTCTGCTTTCCGACGGCCGATGCAGTGTGACCAGCTGCCTCATGCATGCTCCCGTTGCCATGACAACCCCACCCAGTGTTGGACCGCATCCTCGAATTGTGAGCCCAAACAGTTCAATTTACCTTGCTTTTCTCGGGTGCTTTGTCCTAGCATGAGAGAGGTAGCTAATACAATAGTCTCACTTTTCTCAGCTCAGGCAAGAAGTCTGCAGTGTCTACCAAGCAGGGTGGGGCAATGGCTCCTGACCCAGTCACCCACCCACACCCAGGCTCCCAAAGCTGGTGGAATCAGAATGGGCACTTTTCTATCTTCCGACCTTCTGTGAAGCTTCCTGAGCTCACCCTGGTAACCCTCTACTGTGCTGGAATCTGGCCGCCTTGTCTGGTTGTAAAAGCTGCTAGAATATTCTCAGCATACTGTTGAGGCTCCTACTCCTGCAAGATTCACCCTGGACAGGGTCTCAGAGTCCCCCATCCACTCACCGGGGTCCTTTTCTCACCCCAAACCCACTCTGAGCCGCCTTCTGCTCCTGTCAGCTCGAAATGGTGTGTGTGTGTGTGTGTGTGTGTGTGTGTGTGTGTGTGTGTGTGTGTGTGTACATGCCAGTGTGTATGTATGTGTGCGGAGGTCAGAGGACAGCTTTCAGGAGTTGGCTCTCTCTCGTTCTATTGTGTGGGGACCAGGGATTGAACTCAGGTCATCAGACTTGGCAGCAAGCGCCTTTTACCTTCTGAGCCACCTCTCAGTTATATTTTTGAGACAGGATCTCTCATTGGCCAGAGCTTACCTAGTCAGCCAGGCTGGCTGGCCAGTGAGCCCCCGGGATCCACCGCCGTCTCTGTGTTCCCAGTGTTATCTCCAACGCCGGGAAGACAAGCTTGTGATACCACATCCAACTTCTTTTCTAACCTGGGTTCTGGGGATCCAACTTGGGACCTCATGTTTACAGAACAAGCCTGTTGTCAACACAGTTCTCTCCCCAGCGCCTTCAAGTGACTCTTGATGTCAGAGAGGATCTGGGCTCAACCCTCTCCCGGTATTGTCTAGTCCCCCTAGCTGGGGTTCCCCCAGCCTCCCTGCTGCCACCCTAGCACCTGTGTGGTCCCCCAACTCCCACCCTACTCTAGTTCCCTAGGGCTCCTGGGCACATGTCAGGAGCAACAACCCAGTGACTTATAATTAGCTTTTACTGGGTGCTAATCTCTAGTAATCCTTTGAAAGAGGGGGTGCCTGGAAAAGAGACCACACGTGGGACGCTGTAAGCCTAGGAAATATTTATAAATCCCTTCAGATATCATAAAGAAAAGAACTCCCCTGCGGAGTTCATCTCACATAATTACATATACATTTCCCTCTGATTAATAAAAAATGATCACTTCCGACGGCAGGATATTCTACCCAATTCTCGGGACTGCAACCCCACCCCCAACACACACACACACACACACACACACACACACACACACACACACACGCCTCCATATGCCTTCTCCACCCTGGCCTTTCAAGTCCACCTGGTCACAGGCCCTCCTGGGGCCCAGAGCTCTGCAAGGCAGGAAGGGACCATCTTTTATCTGGCTTGGAAGTTTAAGTTTATACTGCACCTTTGAAAGGTAAATTTACGTCGAAGAGAAGGAAGAAGGGCATCACCCAGACCTCAGTTTTCATCCGGGCTTTTGTGATGATAAAGAAAGGCAGATAGCATGACTGGATGGGTTAGTGGGTAAGAGTACTCCCTGGAGACGCAGGAAGACCTGAGTTCAAATTCACAGAACTCACATAAAAATTCAGGTGTTTTTGCCCACACACTTGGAACTCTAATGCTAGGGGAAATGGAGGCAGGAGGATTGCTGGGCTAGACCAACTCCAGGTTCAGCGAGAGACCCTGTCTCAAGGGAATATGGTGCAGACTGATAGAGCAGGACACCTGACATCCTTCTCTGGACTGTGCACGTGCACACAGGTGCACACACATACACAAGACACTTACATTCTTTAAGTCTCTATTTCCCTGCTTATATTAACTTTTTTTTTTTTTTTAACACAGAGTCTCATGTAGCCCAGGCTGGCTTCAAAGTCATTATGTAGCAATGGATAACCTTGAATTTCTGATCCTTGTGTCTCCACCTTCCAAGTGCTGAGATGACCAGTATGTGTCACCATGTCCGGTTTATATGGTACTGAGGATGGACTGCAAGGCCCCATGGATGCTGGGCAAGAGCTCTACTGACTAAGCCACACCCCTAGACCATCTTTACTTATGAGATCAAGAGTAACGCCCACCTCAAAACATCGGAATGATTACAAGACACCTGCTGGCCTCCAATCAAAGCCTGGGTTAGTCCCCAGGACCCTGAGAGAATTCAGTCCCGTTCCTTGTCTCCAAAGAGCTTATAGTCTTGTAGGAGACAGGTCATTAATAGAAGGCAACAGAAAGAAGGGCAGGTGCTGCGTCACAGGGGCAGGGGACAGCTGCAGGGCCTGAGAGGGACCCACACCACCAGCACGCTCCAATTTGATCCCCTGCCCAGCAGGCAACAGGACCCTCATCCTCCTGTCAGAACACAGCCCTCCATCTACGGAGCCGGTGAGACCAGGTGGCTCATCTCTCCCCACACTCTTCCTCCTTATCCCCCAACTTCTACCTTCGTGGGATCAAAGAACATCACCAAACCAGAACCCACGTGGATGAGAGGCTGGGAAATAGCTCAGGCTGTTAGAGTGATTGTCTCGCATGCATGAAAACCAGAGCCCACGTAAAAAGGTAGCATGCGCCTATAATCCAAGTACTGGGGAAGAAGAACCGGGATCCTTGGGCCTCATGGGGCAGCCGTTCCAGCCCAGTTGGTAATCTCCAGCTAACAATAAGAGAGCCTGTCTCAAAAATAGATAGATAGATAGATAGATAGATAGATAGATAGATAGATAGATAGATAGATAGATAGATAGATAGATAATAAATAAACCCAAGGTAAATGGGCCTGAGGAACAACACTGGGTGACCTCTGACCTTTACACATGGGTGCACACACAGTTGCACACAAGGGAACACGTGCAAACACAGACCACATACGAAAAGAAGTCACATGGGTGCGTCTGGACACCCATGAGACTGGACGCCCGACAGAGTCAACACCGAGTATCAACGTCGGACCATCCGGAGCCGCCAGTCGAGGGAACCACTGCGAGGAACGGTTCAAAGTGGAGAAGGAAAAGTCCAGAACCACGCATGACATCGAGGTCCCAGAGATGCGACAAGGGTTGAGCAACGAGGTCAGGACTGAGCTTGGGGCGGGGAGGCAAGCAGGAAGGGGACCAAAGCCGGGCGCTGAGCTCCATGGGAACCGGGGGTGGGGGCGGGGTGCAGGGAAGGCGGCCCCAGCCTACCATGGTCTGGCGTGATTTTGAGTGCTGCAGCAGGTCCGGGGACAGCTCGGGGTGGCTTTTTAAATAGTGCTCCTCCAGGCCAGGCGCCATCCCAGGTCTAGACAACAGTTTGGAAGGTGACCAAGGACAAGATGAGGGGTATTCAGGCCAGGCATCTCCCTGGGGGCGGTGGGGAGTGGGCGGCAAAGGCTGCCAATGTGGAGACTGTCTAAGCCGTGGGGATCTCCGACATCCCTGAGCCAACTGTTTTCTCTCAAGCCAAAGGACCGTGGACCAGGAAGGGGACAAGGGGACAAGGACATGCCGAGTAAGTCAACGCCAGCAACCCGCTGGATCCAGGAGGGTCAGAAGAGCGCCTGGAAGCGTAGGCACCATGCCAGCTGGTGCCAGACAGAGTAAAGATGACCACACCTCTTGAGCTTCAGGGTTGCCTGTGGGACACCATCCTCTGGGATACTCAGCCCTCTGGTGGGGACAATGAGGAGGTTGCAATGTTGCTACCTGTGGTATGCTTTCGTCTGCCCCACGCACCAGGGTCCCTCAACCCACATGACTGCAGTCAACCTTTGGAATTCTAGGGCCTCAACCCCCCAAATCTGCAGATACTCAAGTCCTTTATATAGAGGATGTGGTATCAGCCTAGAACCTGGGGAATTCTGTGTGATCTATCGATTGATTGATTAATGGCTGGTCCTGGGGATGGAACTCACAAGCTTTGGTTGCAGGCAAGGGTTTTCCTGCTGTCCACACCTTTTATCGTTGCCTAATACATGTGAGCACATTTGGTTGACTCCGCACATGCAGAGACTGTGGCTGCATGTTGCTCTGGTTGAAGGGCCATCCTTACCCACCCGAGCTCAGGCGCCTCTTGGGAACTTGAAAATGCACAAAGTGAAGCCAAGAAGGTTGGTGCCTGTCTGTGACTCCAGCACTCGGAGGTGAAGGCGGGAAGATCAGGAGTTTCAGGTCATCGTGGCTCTACAGCGGATACAAGGCCAGCCTGGGCTACATGAAATCCTGTCTCAAAATAACAAAAGGGCAACCAGAAATGTGCTTCATTAGTAGAGCTCCTGCCTAGAATCCCCCAGTGAGGGGCTGGGGTGTG